TAGATGGTGATCGTCGTCCTCTTCTTGCACAGAACGTGGACCGCAGAAAATGAGCTCGCTTCTTTGGAAAACAACACGACATAAGGATCTCTCGCCTTTCGGAGGGCCGCGGGCTTCCACAATGTTGATAGTCAACTTTCCCTTGGCTGCAGGTACCTGGGCTCCGCCTGCGCCCCGGGGCGTCTGTGTGCCGCTTGCCGGTCCCGTTTCATTGCTCGTTCGCTTTGAGACCGAAGGTCGGTCCTCAGACTGAGACGGCTGAGCTGAGGAGAGGGCACGTGTGGGAGTTGGTGGACCGCTCTTCACACCCGGGCCTTGCGTTAGCTTCTTGAGCTGCTCAAGAGAGGAAGAAATTTCAAGACTGGCAAGATCAACTCCTGGGCCGTTGGGGGTCTGCGCGAAAGAGGGTGGGGTAACAGGTTGGGAAGGCACAGTCGGGTTAGAAAGATGTGATGCGTGCACGGCATGCGTCGTGACGCCGCTTGAAGGAGAAGACATGATTGTGCTGAGGGACTTGGGAGGGAGATCTGTAGTGCTCTGCTGGCGGAGGGGTAACGGCCGCCCTGATGATGATTGTGCTGTGCTCGTCTCTCCGCTCCACAGGGACAGACTTCGCGTCAGCCGCCCTGCCGATGACCGTCTTGATATCGGCGGGGTCGGATACTGACCGAGGCCTGCGGCCTTGTGGTCACCAAGCGGTTGCGCTTCTTGACTGACACGGGTAGGGCAATACGACGTGGGCTCTGCAGAACTCGCATTGCACGCTGTGGCGCTTTGAGGAGGGGAACTTGTGCCTTGGTCCATCATCTGAACCTGCACGCCAGAAGAGGGTGATGCGTGTGCCAGAACCTTGGTGGGAACAGGAGACGATGCAGGGTCTTGAGTGGAAGATATACGAACCTGTCCAAAGTAGCTCATGATTCCCGGGAGGCGCTTGTCAGACAGGTCGGGCTGCGGAGTTGCCACGCCAGAGCGGGGCGTGTCATAGCCGATCTGGTCCGTCCCATCGTCGTCGGCGGCGGTGGGCCTAAGGATTTGGTCAATAGTGTTCATCGTTGAATAGTCATCGGTCCTAGGGGCGTGGAATGTCCTGGCAGTTGCAGGTAGTCTCGACGTCGGAAAAACGCGGAGTGGGATGAAATGGGAAAATTGCTGCTAGCAGGTGCCAAATGACAAGGATCGTGTTCTAGCGTGTGGACAGGAGCAAAAAGCCAGATGGGGTAACGAGACTCTTGAGAGCTCATGAGCATGTGCGATGCAGGCATGTGTTTATCAGCAGCGGAAGGGGATAAAAAACCATGCGCCGATGCAGGAGGAAGATCAAGAGATTTGCAGGCTAGTCAAGGTGGCAGGAATGATGCAACATGTCAGGGAGCGCAGTGCGGGAGTGAATTTTGCTCCGACGACGCCCTGGTGAAGCGATCTAGTCCAGGCTTGTGCCAGGCGGCCAGCGCAAGAAGGCGCGCGAAGGTCATGGCGGGGCAAACGTGATGGCATGCCGGGCCCAGGGAAATGGAAGTGGAAAGAGGGGTGATGGCCGAAACGGAGCATGACGAACTGCTGGGCATTGGGCGAGTCAGGCCTCAACCAAGCAGGGCACCTGCGGCATGAGCCCAGCTTTCGTGACAACCTAGGTAGGACCCGGGTGCCGAACGGCGTCATTCCGGCCGTGCTCCGCTCGTTCGTCTGCGCAGTTGTGGACGGGACAGCATAAGATGCTTTCTCAATTGAGGCATTGTGCTGTCGTGATGTGATTTGGCATGTGCAAGGTAAAGCAAATGGGCACTTCGGCCTCATGCGGGCCGCAAATTGTGCTGTGAGGGGGAAGCCGGAGGCGACTCGAGGCCATTAATGTCGCAAGCAGGGCATGGAGGCACTCTGTCTGTTGCAGCTCGTCTTCCTAGGCTTTGCCAATGTGCATGGCAACAGGGCCGTGGAGGGGCCGGAGGAGGAGCAATTCGGGTTGTAGATCCCTCGTGAAGTATGCGTTTGATGAAACTAACCAAATCGGGGAACCCTTTCGATGAGGTTTGATGTGGTCTGGGGTTGTGATGATGTACGTGAAGGTTGCGGATTTTGCGGGACGGCGTTCCCTCCCATTTTCGCTTCGCTCCGTCATCCATGCCACGCGCTTGGGTAGCATGGGCCGAAGCTTGAGCCGAAGCTGGTGCAGCCGGGGAGCTCAAACCAGAGTGGGAGCCTGAGCTTTCGAGCTTGACCTTGGAGTCTTCGTGGTGGTGTTGGTGTGTTGGGGAAGGGGGAGGGGTCGAGGTAGGTATGGAGGGGGGGGGGGTTGGAAGGGCCAAGTTTTGAGGGCCGCGAGAAGCTTGTCAAAGCGATTTTCTGACAGCCGAGCTTTCAGATCACTCGTAAGACGCAACGGAGCTCTGCGAATGTGAGGTTCCTGGGGGCTCAAGGGAAGACCAGGAATGGCAGCTCGTGAGATTGGGGATGGATGAGATGGGACGCCGAATTGCAAAAAGTCATGGATGGACAGACAACGGACACTGGCGCATGCTCCGGGGAGAAAGGCGGGGATCGCAAGAAAGATGGATGAAACAGAAGGAGAATGTGGAAGTTTGCGTGCATGTATGAGGAAAGGAAGATGATAGCGTACCTTGGGTTCGAGTTTGACATCATCATGGCTTGTGTTGCCCGCTTCAGCAGGTCGAAACCTCCAGTGCCGGAGTGGGCGGAGGGGTTATTGGTTGAATGGCCGCCGTTCCCGTTGCTGCTGCCCTCAATGTTGGCCATGGTGACAGCGGACGCTCCGACTCGTTCGTTCTCTCGAGCGGCTGGTGTGTGCAACGATGCGTTGCCGTGCAATGTATGGATGGTACCGTTCGTGGTATGGATGGGAGAGGGAGCTGACGTTGGCCGGTGTATATGTGAGTGAGTATGACGGTGATGCAAGGTGGGATGGATGGGTGTGTGTGTGTGTGTGTATGT